AGACACCGCACCCCCATCTGGTGTTTACGGAATTATATCCGCTTTAAAACAAAAATAAAAATACAGAAAAAATGACACTGTATATATATAAACATAAAGAAAAGTATCGGATAGATTATGTCGAGACAATAAAACAGCTTATTTTGTGAAAAACCTTTTTCCTATAAATTTGGTTTTCATTTTTGGTATATACTACTAACTATTTGCCCGAAATCCATTTGTATACTCGAATTCCAAAAATTCCAGATTCTTTAAAATTTGACAATTTAAACGCACCTATTATCGCACACAACTGGTTTGTGCTAATTCACTGTGACAAGCAGGTAGCTAAAATAATAAAAAAAATCCGAAATGTACCATTAACATTTGGCAGCGCCAAGCCAAATAATTTACTCCATTCAAGAAAATAAAGTATTGACTTTATGACCATTTCAGAAATGTAAGTGGACATATGTAATGTCATTATCGTTAGCAATGTGTCCATATGATATTTGACATTGTTATCATTTCAAACGGACATTGACCCTATGGCCATAGATCTTATGTCACCCCACCGCATGCACGTTATAAACTGCTCGCCGCCGCACTTCAATAGCAGAGCTGGCAGGCTATCAGCGTCACCTTCCGCAGCTTTGTTGCTTTAAGTCGCGGAATTACTATTCTCACCTCTTCATAGTGGGGCGGAGGTACAGTTGTAGCGGCACTACTAAGCCCCAGGTGCTGCTGGCTAGCGACTTGAGAAACTTGTTGCGACTCGATACTCTTTTGACAAATGCGGTTGTGTGCGCCGAGAAAGAGAGCAAACTGTTGAAGGTAACTATTTTGGGGTTGTTCATAGTTGGAATTGATTCCCCGTCGACGTGTATTCCCAGCTGTAGTCTGTCCGCTTTCGCCCAGGTGGTGAAAGGGTTTGCCGCTGATTTCGATGGGGAGAGGGTTAGGCTCCTTGCATTGAAGAAGCAAAAAAGTTCGGTGAAGTAACAATTTACTTGGTTGGTGTCGTGTGCGGAATCTCCCCATGCTGAACAATCGTTACGTATATCAGGATCAAGTCTGGATAGGTATCTGCTTAGACGACTACAGTTGAATCTCGAAGTCTGCAACAGGTGGAGATTGGGCTCCTAGCACGGCATTCAAAGGCCGAGGGCCGCAGAAGGTGGTGACGGACTCTCTGAATGCAATTTATCGCTTGTATGTTTGTCATCTGAACCGGTCCTTATACTTAAAAATATGCCTCGGTGGAGGCTCCTCAAGCAAGCGCCAGTTCGAGTGCTCACATCTGTAATACCCTACCAAAAATAGTTTGCTGAGCATTTTTTTGTGTCCCCTTATAGGGAGAATTTGGTCCTTTAAATACAGATGATGGTCAGGCGACATAAGAAAGCAACTTGTCGCTTTGCGGAGTGGGGTTTTAACAACTCTGTTGCTTCGTCCAACGGGCCCCAGTGACCAACCACGCGCGCATAGCTCAAAACCGGCCGGCGAGCGACTAGAGGACCTTATTTCGGCTCTGTACTTTGTTGACGATTGCGGTTTTGTGTGCGGACAAGGAGTGCAGGCTGTCAAAGGTAACCCCTAAGATTTTCGGTTTATTCACCGTCTGAATTGGTGCGCTAACGACCTGAATGCCTAGTTGAAGTCTCATCTTCTCCGTCGAAGTTGTGAAGAGGGTCGCCGTTGCATTCGATGACGAGAGCGTTAGGTTCCGTGCAGTAAAGAATCGAAAAAGTTCGGAAAGGTAGCTCAACAGTCGCCTGCATATGATATCAGGGAATTTCCCTCCTGTGGCTTGGGAAGCTTCGAGATGTAGAAGTTAAACAGAAACGGGGAGTGGACTGACGGTGTCAAACGCTTTTGAAATATCCAACGCTAGTAGGAATGTTCTGTCTCGGGGCGGTTTCGGTTGAGGCCTGTCTAGGTATTTATGGCATTAAGTGCGATGTCGGTGCTGTGCGATTTACGGAAGCCATGCTAATCCTTCGCTGCAGTCAGGTGACACATGAAACACGTTAGCTGCAGGGCCTCACGCATCTTCATTACTGGAGAACAGAGAGTTATGGGCCGATAATACTTCCCTTTCTTGGCTGGATACGCATTTCTTTATATAGAGAACGCTCATTTGCGACAACAGCCGCTTCTGCTGGATAGTTTGGGCGGACTTCCTCGATGCGTCCGGACGGAATGTGGCGAGCCGCTTCAGCGGTGACTTCCTTTCGGAATTTACGTTCTCCACCGTTTACGGTGGAGCAGGTGTATGGTTCGGTAACGCTTGACCACAAACCGTGTGTTCCACCCCCTGTGTGACCTAAGGTCTCAGGAGATTCTTTGGTGACTCCATCCGTTACAGGTGTAACACCTAACCGAAGTGGAGTTCGAAAGAGGTCGTCTCTTCCAAACGCAGCTGAAATCGTGACTTCTTTCTATAAGAACATGATCGATTTGGTTTCTCGTTTTTTTCAATTTTGAAACAAACAGTACTGGCTAGATGAATATTTTTATGCTGGAACCTATTACTGCATACTATTTATTCCATAAAGTCAATGAACAAAGTTCTTACTGACCACTTGAAGCTAGAATTTTCAATTAAATTAACAAAATACTATAATGTACATATCAACAGGCAGAATATAACAAAAAAAATCTTTGGATAATGAGAAATCAAGGCAGACAGAATTCGAGATCTCGTTGAATTCGAAGAGAGCACGATACAAAGGAGCACTCCTTGCATAACTAGTCCTGACTTTATCTGGATAGAAGGGATTGAAATGACTTACAGGTCTCATTGGTATAAAAAATTTAATATTTTGCAACAGAGACGGACAGTCGAGAGTCCCCATAATTTAATTAGAAACAAAAGAAAGTGAAACAATAGTCCTTTTCGTTTGTAGAGGTTGGATTCTAATAAGAGGCAAACGTTAATGGCTAGGAGGTATACGATCAACGAATTTCAGAGAACGGAGAGCAAATTCCAGCTCTGTATAAAAAAGCTGGGAATAGGGTCTCCATATTCCGGTCTAGGTCGAACAAATAATGAGAGAGTAGTTTTATGTAGAGAATAAAGGTCTGCAAAATTTGGTCTGCTTCGACGAATAAAACATAAAGTCTAGTAAGATTTAGAAACAATGAAATGGATGTGCATATTAAAAGAAAAACTAGAATTAAATATGACTCCAAGATCATTCATTTCTTGAACAGACTTAAGTATTGTATTATAAATAGAATAAGAAGTATGCATAATGCTTAAAGGAAATGAGACAATCTATGAAATTCATAACTCCTTCCAGGAGTAACTCAGAAAGACTCCTTGAACTCAGCCGGAAGGGCCTTAGAACTCACAGGACACTGCAAGTTAAGATATCATTTGAACAAAATGGGGCTTTCTATATAGACGGACTGCAGGTTTTGTGGGCTGGTGGAGGAAACCTCAGAGCATATTCTTTGTGACTGCCCACGTATCATGAATCACAGACTGATACACCTTGGGGGAACATTATCTTCTACATGCAATGTGCTTAATTTCTTAAATAGGCTAAGGTTGGAGTGACTACAATTAGAGTTTAGCACAATAGATCTTTTTAGGTCGTAGCGCGAGTTTGCCCGACGTAGTCATAATAATAGTAATGCATAATGCTACCAACTTCTAGAAAAGTAATATGGATGGTGTTTTTATACTTATTGAGAGGTGAGGCTTTTGTATTCAAAGAATCAATTTATCTAACTCTGCTTGAAGGCTTGCCGCTTCGGGAGCATTGTTTACCACAAAGAATATTTTAAGTCATCAGCATATAATAAAAGTCTGAAAACAGAAAAACCGTCACTTACGTCATTGATGAATACTATTCTCTTTCAGGCCCCGGCAAAGTCGATCAACCTCAGTCCGTCATCGGACATTTCGTCGTAGTGGCTAAATTTTCCTGCGGAGGGACCAAATATCCCTTCCTTGCCTACCCTGGTATTGAAATCTGCCAGAGATCCTTGTACGCGTCGTCCTTCTCTTCTGTCGGGGCGTGCGCGTAAGTGAGCGAGATGGTAAAGAATCTCACTTTAATACGGATTGTGGCTAGATGCTCGTTCACCGGGTTGAACGAAAGTAATCGGAATCTAACTCAAATTAAAAATCCAACACTGAACTCGAGCTCCTTTCCACGTTTGGTCACTCCCTGTGGAATGGCGATCCCACAAGCGTTGACTTCTACACCCGTGACCATGCTCTCGCTGCAGACTATAGTGGACCCGTAAATGCGCATAAGTCGGAGTGACTCCATTAAATGGTTTTCTCACGTTGCCCAGCACGCGATCGGGTACGAAGGAGCCGAGATTTAGTATAGTCGAGCGACTGTAAGTGCATACCCAGAAGAACGGCCATATCCCATTGCAAACCTCGTTGAAAAAGGAACTTCTAAATGAATCACGTAGTATCTTTAAATCGTTAAATTTCATTTCTTTTAAACAGAAGGCGTCATACGACGAAATCATATTTCTATACCATGCATCCCCAGGTTTAAGTTTTTTTGTTAAGTTTTTAATACCCCTTTGCTTCGTCTCTCCTCATATATATGTAGTTAATGAAAATTTTTTACTAGAGTTGAATAACAAAATTCGGCATCGCATATGACATTATTTATAGAGTGCCCCAGAGTTTCTTGTCTACAAGCGCATACCAAAAATAATAAAAATATGCTTTAATAATATCCTAATAATAATAAGGCTATCAATATGAAACGAAATTAGTATTTCTGGCATGCATTTAATATGAACATATCTCTTCTTACATAAAATCAAACAAAAACATTACGCTTTCATAAATTCTTTTATATATGACCTGTGCTGTAGAGAAAATATAAAACTTTGAGCTACTACTACCACTACTACTACTAACTAATTCACCCAAATGAAAAGCTTTTTTTTCCTCTTTTGAAGGCTTTATATATTCCTTTTCATATTACTAGCATCCGGTAAATTATAAAAACATTTTCTATTTGCAAACGGCAACTAAATAGGTCCGTCATGCGTCTTTAACTCGTCAGCGCTCCGCATTCAGAACTCATCAAAGGCATAGATCAGTAAGTGTTCTAGTTCTATAGTGTTTATATAAAGAAACGAAGTGTAATTAGAAAAAAATATATACGATCAATTCAAGAAGCTTATTTTCGTGAAGCAAACTAAATAATGGATACACAATTTCATAGCATAAATTGATACGAACGAATCACAGCGAAATATTTTCTAATTACACATGTTTAAGAAAATCATACCAATAAATACTTTTCATTATTAAAATATCAAATAATTGGACGCTATATCAGTGACATTAGATTTTAAAGTCTCTTTGCAACGGTTATAACGAACATATATTTGCCTAAGTGTCCCATTGTTTTCCCATAGAAAATCGGAAATCTACTTGCTAGTTGTTATTCGGCAATAATAAAACATTTTAAATAACGCAATATGAAATTTCGCTACCGAAATTTTCTCACTTATACCTAAGTAATATGTTAATGTAAGTATTTAATACAGTTTGCCTTATTGAATTAACTATAATAGTCAAAATTATACTAAAATTTTTAATTCATTAACTTACGGTGCATATTAATGACATTACATATAATTAAGCATTCAAATTAAAACTCATTGACAACAATTTGTACGCTAAATTTCCAAATCTTGGTGGATAACTTTCGCGTATTTGTTTTTCTTTTTGCCCGCGCATTGAGTCCAACCATAAACCTACGTCAGTGCGAACTTCACTTCGGTTAGATGCAACATCTGTAACGGAAGGAGTCACCCAAGGACCTGCTCCGCACTTAGGTCACACCGGGTGTGGACTAAAAAGTTTTCGGATTCAAAATGCTCAATCCATACGGCATCATTTGCCTATACGGCCACCAACTCGCGCAACCCGCTGGTGCGAACGGCACCCTGAAATTGTGCATATGAAATAATGCATATGAAAAAAACCGAAATAATGCATACATGCACAGTTTCGGTTGAAAACCGCAATAATGCTTATTAGAAAAACCGAAATTATGCATAAGCACACTTTCGTTTGAAAACCGAAGTAATGCATATAAGAAAAACGAAGTAATGCATACATGCACGGTTTCGGCTCAAAACCGAAATAATGCCTACATGCACAGTTGCGACTCAAAAAGTAGAATTTTCCTTTCTGTGTTGCCGGAAAAGGGGCGCGGAAGTATTTTTGCGTAGAACTTCTTTTTGCGTAAGGGGCCTTCGGCCACGCTTAGGGATTATAACCCTTACTAAGTAGAATTCTCCTTTCTGTCTTGCCGAAAAAAGGGGGGAAACATTGTTGCGTAGAACTTTTTTCTGCGTAGGCGGCCTTCGGCCCCGCTTAGGGATTATAACCCTTACTAAGTAGAATTCTCCTTTCTGTGTTGCCGGAAAAGGGGGGCGGAATATTTTTTTTTGCTTAGGGATTATAACCCTTACTAAGTAGAAGTACATAATTCATAGTAGAAAAAAAACGAAATTATCCATATGCACACTTTCGTTAGAAAACTGAAATAATGCATAACAAAAACCTAAATAATGCATGCATGCACAATTTCGGTTCAAACCCGAAATAATGCATATGTGAAAAACGAAGTAATGCATACATGCACAGTTTCGGTTGAAAATCGAAATAATGCATATGTGAAGAACGAAGTAATGCATACATGCACACTTTCGGTTGAAAACCGAAATAATGCATATGAAAAGCCCGAAGTAATGCATACATGCACAATTTCGGTTGAAACCCGAAATTATGCATATGAGTTGAAACCGAAATAATGTCTAAATGCACAGTTTCCATATGCGCAATTTCGGTGTCCCGGTGCGAACCAGTACCCAAAGAGCCCGGGCGGCTCCGAGGAGCACACATGAGCAACAACAAAACTCCCTACGTTGTTGTTTTTTTAACAGCATACAAATACCCCAAAGAGTTTTTGGGGAGTGATGCTGGAGTGACAGTCCTGGCCAGATATAAATCTGTGTCGTTCCGGTTACGTAGACTCGACTGTCTTGGGAACGAAAACTTCCCACGTCACATAATCCTACAATGTGCTCCGTAAGGGTCGCGAGCGAGACAATGGTAGCGTCTACTGGTCATCCTACATCACACTGTCCAATATCGCCTCATCGAAGAAGACACCAATCCCAGGTACATCGCCCCAAATGTCAGGTCAGGTCATAGCTGTCTGGTCAGGCGACGCCGGGCTCGAAATATGTGAAGTTTATATATATTCCCTGTCACCTGCTGTCCGGCAAGATATGTCTGTGACGTAGTAACCATGATCTTTGGCACTGAAGCCTAGAAGATGATCATAAGCGAAACCGATTGCTTAAGCAGATTGCCGTTCCACATTCTGCAGCATGAACAAAGACGCCTCCATCAGATTGTTTTAGTTTTAACAGCTCGCCAGGCCTAACAATAGCTAGGGAGGGTCTGACAAATAGAATTTGAATATCCAACAAAAATGTCGGCCGCTGTGGTGTAGTAGTAAGCAGTGCGCGTTTCCACTCCGCAACGCCTGGGTTCAAACCCTGGTCGAAGCAACATCGCAAAAAATATAGAAAAAATGTTTTTTCTTAACAGCGGTCGTCCCTCGGCAGGCAATGGCAAGCGTCCGAGTGTATTTCTGCCATGAAAAACAGCTTCTCATCAAAAAGTGAGAATATTGCAGCCGCCTGAACATCTACTTATCCAGACTCGACCCCGATATCCCCCAACGAGCGTACGGCGTGTCAAGCTTCCCCCATGGCACCAACCACCTGTTCACACGCCCACTGAAACCTACTCAGTTATCACTCCTCCTACTCTGGGCCAACCCGTTGAAACGGCTGGTGACCTCGGCCTATCTTTAATTTAGCTAGATGACAACGATTGATGTACAAACCGACTTAAGCACTGCTTAATAGTGCCGCTGCAAGACAAAAAATACATTTCCATTCTAACGACATCTGGTTCTACTTGCCGGGATGACTCGAGGTTTTCCCACTAAAGGCTGTTATTTCGGCGATGTTTTTAAATTGGCGAAATCTTCTTGTCGTTGTTCGTCCCTGGAGTAACACCTCGCAGCGGGTTTTCTCCCGATCCTTCTGCTACAAGCTGGCGTCGAATCAAACCCCGGACCAGAATCCTACTTCTGCTGTGTATGCTGGAGAAGACTCCACTTCGGTTAGGTGCAACACCTGCAACGGATGGAATCACCTAAGAACTTGTTCAGGTCTTTGGCCACCACTGGACCACAAGGCATCTCTGATAAGAACAAAGCAAAGCAGTTTGGCTGTGCGATTTAACTTTTCACACAATATGCTCAATAAGGTATTGCCCGCTTAATTTAAAAGGCTGGTTAAGCGATAGTTGCGCTGATTATGGGATGACCCTTTTTTATAGTTTGGGCTGAGAGCACACTTAAACTTCGGCTGTCAGGCCTGCATTCCTCAGACCATATTTTGCATAGGAGCCGATGCATACGCTATACGAGCTCTTCGATGCCAGCATCAAGTGTTGGCATTTGTCCCCTATTCAGAAATCTTAAGAAGTTTTTGCTCTATAATTTAAGTTCGATCTGGGCGTTACACAGTGATATTTGATACCCATTTTGTGTCCATAATTAAAAAAAAAAATGTATATTCACATAAATCTAGGTTTCCGGGGGTTTTTGAGGTCGATGCATTCGAATCTGAAGTCAAAATAACCAAAAACAAAATGGCCGATCCAATATGGGTGTTTCCAGCGGAAGGTCCACCACGACAAAAAAAATAAAAGTTTTATATCTAACGTATTTACGTGCCGATTTGTCTGCATTTTAAAATATATACTGGCTAGGTAAGTAGAATCATGTTTGCATAAAATGGTGTTCCTAGGTGGTGCCAAGGTCGAGATATTTCGAAAAACCGTATTTATGGTCCGATTTGGTTCGAATTTGGCGTATGTGGTTGAAACATAATAAATCACAGATTTCTAATAAATTGACCCTGAATTGGCGCTGAAGTCAAAATATTAAGTATATTCTACATAAAATACATGTTTTATTTGCGTTGAAAATTCATTTAAAAGCAATATTAACAAAAACATAACGATGGAAATTTATGTCACGTGACGCTACGTCACGTCACGTTTCACACTTGGGGTTGTAAAAGAGAATTGATACAATTTGCATTAATTCAAAAAACTCTAAAAACAACTAGAATTGCTCCAAATCATATTAAAATAAGTTTCATGAAAATAGCCATCCACAATTCGCAGAGTTTTGCGATTTTGTAAGAAAAGAAAAAATCAACTTCCATTTTTTGTCACGTAACGACACTTAAATAAATATATTTCAGGACCAAGCAGTTCGATTGATTTAATTTTTCGGTTAAATATAGAGCTAATTATGTGCTATACAATGGCCCAAAAAAGTTAAAGAAAACAAATGGTATTCCTTTTTTGTATCACATTGAAATCGTACGACTGTCACGTGCGCCACCATGGGAATGCCCATATGGAACCTTAAATCTTCAACGCAATAATTTTGTTAATAATAATAATAATAATAAGAATGGCTTATTATTTAAGAGTTTTTGGAGTCGCCAAATTCGAATCTTTTAAATAAAAATAACAAAAAACAAAAAGGCCGATCCAATGTGGCGCCTAAAATTAAAATAAATGTCTTTAATTTGAAAATATTTAAATATTGAATATTGAAAATTAAAATTTTATTTAAATATTGAAAATAATTAAATATTTTAACCTTAAATCTTAAACGCAATAATTTTGTTAATAAGGCCGATCCAATATGGCGCCTAAAATTAAAATAATTGTATTTTATTTGAAAATATTTAAATATTGAATATTGAAAATTTAAATTTTATTTTAATATTGAAAATAATTAAATATTTTAACCTTAAATCTTAAACGGCATAATTTTGTTAATAATAATAATAATAATAAGAATGGCTTATTATTTAAGGGTTTTTGGGGTCGCCAAATTCGAATCTTTTAAATCAAAATAACAAAAAACAAAAAGGCCGATCCAATATGGCGCCTAAAATTAAAATAAATGTCTTTAATTTG